CCCAGTGTCGAGCTCCGACGAGTTCGACGCCTCGGTCTCCAACCTCGACGTTGCTCATGCCCGCAGCCACCTCCAAAAAAGATGGCCTATCGTCCTCCTCGTAGATTCCGCTCCAGATCTCGTGATCCCATGGTCTCGTCACTCTCTCGCCCCCTATGCAACAAACCAATCACATGCACACCAGCCATTCATATTAATGCCTGACCACACGCCCGAACCTTGCACGCTCAATGTCCCAACTGCAGCGCCCACGGCGGCGACACCTCCGGACCCTCTTCCTCTGCAGCGCCCACGGCAACGACACCGCCGGACCATCCCAACTGCAGCGCCAATGGTAGCGACACCGTCGGACCCTCTCCATATGCAGTGCCCACTGTAGCGACACCGTCGGACCATCCCAATTGCAGCGCTTACGGCATCGACATTGCGGGACCAAACAACACCATGACTTTGCCACCTATAGTTCTAACAATCAATGTGCTCCAATTCAACCACCTCTCGCCAAGCCACGCCAAAAACCGTCTCTGCAAATTTGGCTCATCTTATCCAAACTCTTGGTTCTCTATCCATTGTGAGTTTGACGGGAGTGTTAAATGTAGTAGTTGGTCTATCTTGCTTTGTTTTACTTTACCCTCACATTGCTCAGGACTCTAGAAACACTTAAATGGAGCGAATAATATAATCAATTTCTCTCAAATCCCTCTTTACTTAACAGAGAAATACTCACCATTTTAATCCGGAAAAGAAAAAGAAGAAAGAAAATGTTTCACTTCTCAATCAATTGAGACATTGTTAAAAGTCTTCACATCTCTTTATTGTCTTATTGATATACATTTTAAAAGATAGAGATTGTGAACATTTACATTTGATTTTCAGACGTTCTAAGCATTTTGCATATCTGAAAATTTCCATCAATCAATTAAGATCCTTTCAAAGAAACGGGACAACTTTCACATCTTTTTATCTCAGAAAAGTAAAAAGAGAAAAAAAAACATTGCATCAATTCTCAAAAATGATTTTTTGGAATACTTTTTATACATTTAGAGGAGTTTCCATGATGACTATACATTAAAAGCTTAGAAGGAGAGAATTAACCACAAAATTAAAAGGCTTTCTAAAGTTAGTGGGCCTGCTTTAGTTTGAACCTTTGAGAGGCTTTGAAGCTGTCACGAAACAAAAGCACAATGGATGGTTGCATGCATGCATGATGTTTATGTTGGAATGGGTGCATGAGAAAATTTTTTGGTCTATGAGTCCTCTTTTGCTCAATGGTTCCACATGCACTCTTTTACTAGGTTAAGACCCTTGCTAGACTCTGATTTTCTTCAGGAATATTTTAGCTTCTTCATGGGATGAAAGCTCTGAAAAACAATTTTCTGTCACATCTATAGCAGAAGTTGGATCTCTTCACTCAATTAGACACCTCAATCATAAGATCTGTTGTTCACTTAACAACTGTGGTTTTTACTAAATGATAAATAAAAAACTACAGTGATTTACGGAAGATGAGAGTGTTAGTTAAATTTAAAATGAACTATAACCATCTAAATGTTAATTCTTTTTCGAGGAACTTGCATAATGCAGAGAAATAGAGTAGAAAGTGTTGCCGACGCTCACGAAGAATTGCATCTAGTTATTTAATTCGCGGCCGCAAATGTATTTAGCCTTACATCCATCTAACAGTTTTTTTTTCTCCCCACAATATAGCACCAAATTTTACGTGTCATGTCTTTTTGCTAATCAAACTCACACCTAAATTTAAATGGGCATGAGACACTCATAAGATGATGGAGGAGATGAGAAAAATGATTAGAAGACAAACCAAACTAATATAGGTTTCTGAATCAAGCTTATCACGGGGACCTGAGTAAATCATCTGCTCTGGTTCATATAATCAGATGAATAATGCGTTCACCTCCAAGTTCAACTAAATATTATTGAAAATAGTTGTATTGAGATAAAATGGTTTTTTTTAGATAAAGTGGCGATGGAGAAAGATCCAGATCAGTCAACATCAGATAGGCATGCTTCATCCCCAACTCAAATGTATCTTAAAAGGACCTGAGGAAATCATCTGCTCTGGTTCATATAATCAGATGAATAATTAATGCGTTCACCTCCAAGTTCAACTAAATATTACTGAAAATAGTTATATTGAGATAAAATGGTTTTTCCTAAATAAAGTGGCGACGGAGAAAGATCCAGATCAGTCAACATCAGATAGGCATGCTTCATCCCCAACTCAAATGTATCTTAAAAGAGCTCAACACAATTGCCTTTAAGCTATAACATAAAGAAATCCCTAGAGTACAGAACCAAAGATGACTAGTTACTATATAAAGTGGCAAACTTGAGCGGTAATATAAGAGTGGAAGAAGGAAAGAAGACCAATAAAAGAGTTGGAAGACAAGATGGCAGTCCTGCCTCTGCGTTTCTTTACCAACGCGATAGCGTTATGCTTGCTTCTAATTGGATCCATACTTGTGACAAAATGTGAAGGTATTAAAGAAACAAAACAAGTGGAAGTAGGTACAGTGGAGAGCTTCAAGAGTTTGCGAGGAGAATCAGGAAACAAGAATGTGGATCCAGTCTACAGTTACAAGAGGAGGGTGCCTCTCGGACCTGATCCGATTCATAATAGGTACGGTACATATTACAGATACTTTACGTTATCGGTTTGTGTCTTATTATGCTGAAGAATGTTTCTGGTCTCTGCCTATTTATACAGCTTTATTAGCATCACAATTTCTTTCTTAATTTTTAGACTTCAACAAACTTTGTTTCAACATATGAATTAATGTTTTCTTGTCGGTTGTTTGAATTTATCTGTCAGCCTGCCTATTCCTGGTTTATAAGAACGGATAATATATAGAATGTAAAATCTTAAATCTAAGCTCATTAGAGGACCGTATACAGTGATGAGTTTTTGTCATATAGGTACACCCTGTGTTTAACATCTCTGGACTAGACTGTTTAAAATTTACACTTCCGCCTGCCAATTTTCTCGGACATGTGCGTGCTCTGATACAATGAAAAATTCGTTAATATGACAAATAGGCAAATGTATCTGATGTAGTTGTAAACTCTTTGAGAGGGGAATTTTTTTCTTTTTTTGAAATTTTTTTAGGGGGAAATTTGATCATTCTCAAGGTACGTTCACATGTTTTGAGGAAAATATTAAGAAGATTAGCTACAATATGATCAGACGTTCATCTTCAATGGATATTACATTTCTGTGTCATTTATGTATGTATCTTTCCCTTTGAATAGAAAACTAAATTAGTATTCAGTAAAAAAGAAGAAAAAGAAAAAGAAAAAAAAGGAACTACTATCATGGTTTCGTTCTGAACCAGTACAAATTGTGACGCGATACATCTTATTTGGGTATTCTTTGAGTCGCTTGTATCACTCTTGGCGAAAATGGGCAAGCGGATGAAAAAGAACACGACTCTGTACTTTCTCTTAGGAAAGCATGGAAACTAACAACACCAGAGCTTATAACCTTCACACTTATATTTCCCTTCAAGCTAACAGAAACCTACCTTCAGTATGTTGTGCCCATAGCTCTTGTTACATAGGGATCCTTCAGACACCACATCCAAATGTTCCAGATATTTTAGCATGGAATAATTTTGGTAAATATGTATAATGGTTAAGGTTTAATATTGTATGTGTGTATGCGTGCGCGTGTGTATCTTGGGTTTTTTTCTAGGTTGTGGGAAAAAAAAAACATGAAAGAAGAGCAGTTTGTAGAAAGATCTAAAAGAAATCTCCGATAAGGTTTATCGAGAAAGAAAAAGTTGTGGGAGAATTGATATTGAAAAAGCTTGAAGAAGATCTACTGGATTATTGCAGACTCTTCTATGCCAAGGACATAGCCCTAATTGGCCTAATTTTGGGTGAACCTCGTTAAAATCTCATGCCTCTTGTTTGATTTTCTTGCTTGTTTTTAAATGCGTTCTTTATCTTTCGCTATACATATATTATGAACCGTGTCATTGGCTGATTAGCATTGCAGCAATCTCTAACAATAACAACCTAAGTACATTGGTATATTTGATCAGAGTTTTGAAATCAGAACCAAGTTGTTTTATTATAGTTTGCATGTCTTCTAGAAAACTCAACTGCATGATCTAATTCTAGCTAACTCACCTTTCCATGCATTGGATACTCAGGAAAGAGAGAAAGTCATTGCAAATTCTCAGAAAAGACTAGCATTGGGCCAAGTGAAGCTCCCCTCAACACTTATTAGCCAAAAATTGCCTTTTACTTTTCCAAATCTCTCAACTTTTATAAGGGACTGTTGCTGAAAGAAGAAGGGCCAAAGCTTCCTAATCAAGAAAAGATGTGTCCAAAGATTCTTTAGAAGCATATAGATGAAGGCTTTTGCAGTGATTTGCTTTAGTAGCTTCCTTTTATTTTTGTTAAAGGGTGAGTATTTTTGTAAGGAATGAACCATCAGTGTGCTACTTTTCCTACTAACATTTAATTAAGCTTTTGTTTCCCTAAGATTTGCTTGGCATTTGTTCAAATGTACTTTACGTATCTTCTTTCCTATACTAGTAGGAATTTATAAAATTGTGATGTTGTATGTTCCATTTGCACTGATCAGAAGTGAGATTGTCATCTACCTTTACTTATAAGGCTACTAAAGATTTAGAGGGCTGGAAAGGAATTTTTTATTGCTTGGAGGACAAACTACCTTGATTAACTCTGTTGCCTCAAATATTCCAACTTCTTTCACTAGTAAATGCTTTTGGAATGCACAAAATTTAGGACTGCTTTAAGAGTAAACCTGGTTTTCCCCCCCTAATTACTTCATATCTTAAGCTGTGTGCATGTTTTTTTGACAATGTATCATAACAGTCATGAAAAGATATTTAGAATAATATTCCAATAGATAAAACTTATTCCATTTATTTGTGGAATCACGATTCACTTTCATGACAAAAATAATTATTTAAATCAAGGCTGGTTCGATCTCCTATCTTGTTCCCTCAACGAAACATTCAAGAAGTAGTTCATATTTAAGTTAGCTAACTCAACTATAATTAGACTCTATATCCAGAGTAGTATAGAAATATCCTCATTGCCGGAGAGAAAGAATTTCCTATGATATTAATCTGCGACGACAAACCTTTATGCATGGAAACTGTTATAGCCAGGTTGCAATAAGTTTTTAAAGACTTTTTGGTAAATGATAAGTGTTTGAAGTTAAGATATGGAGCAAGGTAGAGATACAGATGGATCGCGACAGAAGAAGTCCCAAACTAAGACTTGAAGACTCCAAGTTAAAAAAGGGGGGGGGGGAAATGGAAAAAGATCTTGTAATCGGAGATAGAATGCAGATAATTCTCATTCTCTTTATTTATTTACTAGACAGTACGTTAGGTGCCATGTACTACTCAACCAAAGAAGTTAATAGGGCTGCTCACCACATTAATTTTCATGAGTCATGTGAATGGTGTGACAATAATATATCAAATAAAATTTTCCTCTGAAAATCCTGCGTACGAGTGGGAACAATTGAAATCTCCTATCCTTTCTTTAAATGACTCAGAAACATCACCTTGGCAGCATACGAGAGATGTTCCGATAAAAGTTGCGGTCGTGAAGGATGCTTTAGAATTCTTGAAGGATTTCTGAAATCACAAACGCTTTTTTCGCCCACAATGATCCTTGAAGAAAATTGAGGAAACCTGAATTTCCCCATTGAAAACAAATCAAGGATTTATAAAAGTAAAAAAAGGGCTCAGTTTTATATTTCTATTTAAAAGTCATGGATAAATATCTGGCGTTCTGTTGCTTTTGTATGCACAAGGAAAAAAAAGAAAAAAAGAAAAAGAAACCAATTCACATAAGAAATAAACATATGCAGTATTCATAGAACTACCGAAGAAGGTTTAAAATACTTAAAACTTGATTAAAATTTTGAGAACTTCAAATAGTACTTTAAATAAATAAAGCATCTCTGAACTTCTTAAGCGGATCCGAATCATTTGGGATAAAGGCCTTGTCATTGTTATTGTTGGAAATTGTGGTTAAATCTGGAATTAAACTGAGAAAACAGATGTGCTGTAATTTTTAAAATTTTTTAGTTCACTGTTGTGCGTTATAGAAACGCTGTGCTTAAAGTAATATTTGGCTTACTCCGGTGCAAGGATCCCAAGGTCAAACTGCTTCTAGGAACAACAGTACAGTACTCTGGTGTGCACCAACCCAGTACTGTCAAGATCTCCTCGATCTATAAGACCTTTCGGTTAAGGCAAAAGATTTTCTCGATCTCAGAACCTTACGGTTCAAAACCTTTCGGTTTAAGACAAGTTCCTGTGGGCACAAGTTCCTGCAGCAGCAGCACAACAGCAACAACGTCGGGATCGACGTTCGTATTCCAGCACGCGACGTTCGTGTTCCACGCTCGCGAGAGGATTTTCAGCTTTCAACCAAGAGCTGTCCAAGGGCGCTATTTATAGGCCTCTAAGGCCAGCTCAAGAGTCATAAGCAATTAATGTATCTGTTACAATTTTTAATGGCAATTAAGATTGTAACATCAATGTATTAAATTGCTCTTAATGCTGTTGTAACCTCTGCATGCATTAACTCCTGAATACGAGGCAATCAATGGACGCGTTGCTACGAAACGCGACGGTCACGTCTTAACAAATCAGACAAACCTCGTTTGACAAACGAATGTCGTCAAACAGGTGAACCTCATATGACAGACGAACCTCGTCGAACGAGCGAACATAGTCAAACAGGTGAACCTCGTATGACAGGCGAACCTCGTCGAACAAGCGAACCTCGTATGACAGACGAACCTCGTCGAACAAGCGAACCTCGTATGACAGATGAACCTCGTCAAACGAATGAACATAGTCAAACAGGCGAACCTCGTATGACAGATGAACTTCGTCGAACGAGCGAACCTTGTCAAACTACGAGAATGCTAGGGTCACCATCGTGCGAATACGCAGCTCGTCCGCATGCTGCGAAGCAACCTTCGTGGCAGCCAACGTGGCGCCAAACAGCGCCACCTCGCCCCGATGCCTCCGTGCGAAGTGCAAAGTATGCCTAACAAAGCGCCACTTAGCGCCTCAGCCCGATTAGCCCCGATCCTCGGCCCATTGGCCCACGGCCCACGACCCACGACCCACTAGAACTTATGAGGGATTAATTCAAATAAAACACTTCTCGGCTTGCCGTTGGCAAGACTCGAACAAGGGACCTTTTGAAACAATAAAACATTAACTTTCCACTAGGCTACTAAGCATTTATGAAAAATACTTGTAGTTAATATTTATATAGTTTGAAAACTCATTTTGGAAAGCAGTTTTGACCAAAAAATTCAACAATCTCCCACAAGTTTTTAAACTAGTGTCGTGTAATGGTGCCGTTGTTTCAATCGTTGTGCATAAGGTAGATGTCGCAAGGACTTGAATCCCCCTTAGACCAACTGAATAGAAGATAGATGTATGGTGTCGCAGAGACTTGAACCAACACATGTCTAAAATCCAACGATCACACAAGATCAAACTCATATGTGGTAGTTTTCACTTTGAACCACACTTGCCTTTGCCTTTGCACATTTATGACCCTGTGCTAGTCCTGGTTTCTGCTAGGGCTCTAGGTATCTTTCCACAAGACACCATAGAAGACGGCCAAATCTCCACCCAGGCATAGGTGAGTTCTTTAGGCATGTTTCCTATCAAACATCCCGCATCCGAAATGCTTTGAACTGATTAAGGCTTAAGAGCCATCCTCTCTCATGATAGAATTCTAGGTGAGTCCTTTAGGCGTGTTCCCTATCAACACCCCGTATCCGAAATGCTTTGGACCCATTAAGGCTTAACAGCCAACCCCTTTACATGATAGGATTATCGGTGAGTCCTTTAGGTATGTTACCTATCCAACATCCCGCATCCGAAATGCTTTAGACCCATTAAGGCTTAACAGCCAACCTCTTTACATAATAGGATTTTACTTGTAAATCTTACTTGACTTTTGAACTAATCATCTTGTCATTAGTAGCGTAAGCTTTGAACTAATAACTTGACAAATGGTAAGTGTTTGTAAGACTCACCAAACTTTACAAATCTTACTTGACTTTTGAACTAGTTATCTTTATTATTAGTAGCTTTGTAAGACTCACCAAACTTTACAAATCTTACTTGACTTTTGAACTAGTTATCTTTATTATTAGTAGCATAAGCTTTGAACTAATAATTGGATGAACATGGTAAGTATTTGTAAGACTCACAAAACTTTGAGACCCATTGCAGCAGACGTCCTTTCGACTATGTCCTTTTTTAGACCTTTAGTCAAAGGATCAACCACATTCTCTGAAGACTGAACGTCTATCACCGAGATGACTCCTTGACAAATGAGTTCTCTCAAATAGCCATACTTCAGACGAATGGTCCACTTCTTTCCATTGAACAACGAGTTCACTGCCACAGCACCCGTTGCCTGATTATCACAATAGATTGTAATTGCGCCTTGCAATTCTATCAATGGAAGGTCTCGGAGAATACAACTGAACCACTCAGCTTCATCTCCTGCAGCACAGAGTGCGAAGAACTCAGATTCCATCGATGATTGTGCAATCATAGTTTGCTTCTTAGATTTCCACGAGACGGCAGCTCCTCCCATGGTGAAGACAAAACCTCTAGTAAATCTGCACTCATCTGGTTCTGAGCACCAGCTCGCATCTGAATAGCCTTCGATTACAGCCAGATATCCAGTGTAGAATAGGCGCAGACCTGTAGTTCCTTTCAAGTATCTCATCAATCTTTGGACAGCATCCCAATGAAGCTTTCCAGGATTACTTGTAAACCTACTAAGCATTCCTACAGCAAATGCTATATCTGGCCTTGTGCAGCTCATCGCGTACATAAGATTTCCAATTATCTTTGAGTACTTTAGCTGTTCTACTGGCCTTCCAGTGTTCGGTCGAAGCTTCTTGTTGTAATCATACGGCACTGACAGTTCTGGAAGGTCGTAGTAGCCATACTTCCTTAGCATACTCTCGACATAATGAGATTGGGACAATCCAATACCCTCTTCAGAGTATATGATTTTGATTCCGAGAATCACGTTCGCATTTCTAAGGTCCTTCATGCTGAACTGAGCTAATAGAAATTTCTTAATAGATGTTACTATCTCCAAATCACTCCCGACAATGAGCATATCATCCACATAGAGGCAAATAACCACTGTCTTCCCTTCAGTGACCTTGATGTATATGCACTTGTCAGACTCACTGACTTGATACCCATTGTTGCGAACAACCCCATCGAACTTCTCATGCCAGAGTTTCGGTGCCTGCTTAAGTCCATATAGAGACTTAATAAGTTTATAAACTTTACCAGCTGGAGCATCAAGTCCTTCTGGTTTCTCCATGTAGATCTTTTCTGTGAGGTCTCCATTAAGAAAGACAGTCTTCACATTCATCTGATGTATGGCGAACTTTTTTATCGCTGCCCATGCGATAAGCACTCTGATGGTAGTGA